TTGTAAATCTTTCGATCGTAATCTTATAATTGCATTAGTTTACACAGGTAATTACATTACAAGCGTGTAATTACTCTTGTAATTATACGCTACTTCACCTCATTTCACCACAACTTTCTCAATGTGCGAGGATTAATCATATTTGAGAAAAACGTAAGATAAAATAAGATAGCGTTAACTTTTTAAGATAAGAAAATAAAAACATGCAACGTTATACTGCAAAAATAAATTTTCGTAGCGGTAAAAAGTAAAGTATTCAAACGTTATGTTTAACCTTCTTACCCTCATGTTTTACATAAGGGATTTTGACATAATCGGTCGTTTTAGCATTTCGACGGATTTGTTAGAACTTTGCATCTCAATAGAGCTGAAAGATATGCAAATGTTGTAGAATTTTGCATATTTTGCACGCTTATATTTAGAAGCTTATTGTCAAAATTTCTATCAATATCTAATAAGTATACACACCTATCTCTGATGTGCAATATAAAGATAGCGACGTTTTCAAGGAGAAATAAAAATAGAAAAAAAAACGAAAATAAATGCGACGAACTGTTTTACATGAAAATACATGAACATGAATCGATATTTAAAAAAAAACTCGTTAAAACGTTGAAACTCTAAACGACTGAGGTGCAACGCCGCGCAAAGTTACGTCACGGCGTTATACGAACGTAAAAGAATACAAAATGCAGAATCATTATGACATCGTAAGCGCGACAGGTAATAGATAAGAGCACCTCGACGGAATTTTATACGGAATGTATATTTCGGGGCTCGGTGTCCGCTGCACAACGCGTGCTCGGCCGACTTCCTTCCGTTGAAAAATCGCTGAAGCATACCGACAAACGTGGAACCATCTGGCGGATACGCATGCGGCCGATGTTACAGCACGGAAACCGGCATGCACACGGAGTTCCTAAGTGAAGTCTACGTCTTTCGACGTGTGCCGCGCGTGGCGGTGAATGAAAATATTTCTGAATAGCGACAGTTACGCCGTCATTTGAGAACATTGTTACGGAGTTATCTATCATTGAATGCACTCTGTGTCAAAGTTACTGCTAAAGATCTACGTTGCTAAATGTTAAGTAATTTTTGTTAGCTGCTAAATGATCTATGTTACATAATTTTAGTGCAATACGAGAGCTAAGAGATTCGTATATATGAAACTTGTACACGGAGAAAATTTTTTTTTTAATTTACCCTGGAAATCATGTTAATTGTGGGATAATATAGTATTTAAGCAAATTTTACTGTGCACTACAATAAATTTTACAGTAGTAAAATACAGTAAAATTTATTGTAGTGCACAGTAAAATTTGCCTAAATATATTGTCCACAATTAACATTTTCAGGGTAAATTTAAAAAAAAATTCTCTCCTTGTAATTTATTGAACGCATTCTTTCTTCTCATCAAATTCATTTCTTCCCCAGATATCATATTAATAATATCAATATACATAAATACAGCTTGTATATTTTATCTATATTTTAATTTTATTTTTTACACGCGAGTCTCTCAGAGACCAAGCTGAACTCTATGAAATAAAGAATAGAGAAGATTGATGAAGTTGTAAACTATGCTAAAATTAATAAATTTACAAAAAATGCAAA